CATTAATAGTCTAAAAATTATTTTTTTTACCCCTTTAAGCACACTAAACTCTATGGATTTAATCGCATCACCATTAGAAGTCTCATTGTCTAGAACGGCAGTTTTCTAGAGGAAAAACCAAAGAGAATTTTATCATTTTCTTAAAAAAAAAAAGAAAAGGAATGTAGTTTTTTTTGCGCATAAGATCGTTCTGACATCGCGGTAACCCCTAAGAAATATTTGCATGTGATAACAAGATTTCATCGTCGATCAAAGGGTTTCGTGAGGTAAGTGTTTTTGTTAACAAATGGCAGGAAGACATAAAAGAGGCAAGATCAGTCCATTTATTTACAAAGTTCTTGTCAAACAATAATTTATTTACGAATCAAAAAAAGAGAAAACAAAAAAATTCACTTGTTATTTCATTAAATATATGGCTTCAAAAATATCAGACTGTTTTTTTATCAAAAGTATTCACAAAAATGCATTACGTTCAACGTATGGTGTCATCAAAGAATAAGTCCGTATTAGAAGAGGAATCGATCGATCAAATTCTATTGCTCCAATGTGTCTAAAATTAATCACAATTATCTTATTAGATGATTTCGATCCTTTGAGCGCTTGTGGATTTACATCCGACGAAATCTGATCGGAAAGCGGCTTAGACATCGTGTCACGACTACGATCATGGAACATATTTTTCTCTAATAATCGAATATTTCGTGTAGTATCAATATCAGCGATCAGATGTATCTTGATTCAAGTTCAGAGGTTTTATGAGCTTATGGAAAGGAACTTCAGAATACTTCTCAATGAGAGCTATTTTATAAAAACGATTTATTTTTATTCAATTTTCAATCGTCAATTTTTTAAAGTTATGTCGTCTGAAAGAACATAAAATGGGGCAGTTTGCAGCTACTGATGACGTAAAACAAAAGAATTTGTCTGCTTGTGCTTGAAGTGCTGACAGATAAGTTTTATTAAGACTCCTCGCTCAGGTCAGAAACCTATTTGTAGTCCAGGTAGGTCTGATCTGGCCCAAACTTTCAGGGAATGCTGATTTCTGGTGATTAATAAGACATTAAAGCCCGAAAAATCCTTGGAAGGTTTCTTAGAAATCCTCATTTCTATAAAAATAGAAACATACTTTAAAAATCGGACTCTGTCAAGTCCCAGCTGTAGCTGTTATCTAAAAATCAAAAAAAACTTTCTTCGACGTATCGTTACCAGGGTGTATAGATATATATAGATATATCCACGAGTATTCCTGCGCGTGGAGAAAACTCTGAAGCTAAAAAACGCAAAATAAGTTTTGATTCTGTTAAATGTGTTTTACTTGAAAACTATTTGAGCTTTAAATAATTTGTTGATGCTTTACTGTAGGTCATCGGGGATCTAATGAACACGTGCGCGCATGCAATGCAAGTGGAAAAAAGCCATTTCTTTTTATAGGAATTCTGAAAAACTTGCTCAAAATCTATGAAAAACCTATCCTATTGACACAAAAATTCTGCCATTAGAAAGTAGACACTTTGGGTATCAAACCATGTGCTTTTCTCAAAATAGACATTTTTGACGAAAATCGGCATTTCTGACCCAGAGGGAGGAGGCTTAATGCAATGTTGAACTAAGATTTTTATCGTCTAAGATCTTTTCTACCGTATGTGAGAATTCAATACTTGGAAAGTTACAAGCATTTTCCTAAAAGTCCTAAAATGCACCAACAATACACAACGTTTTTCTCAAAATCGCTTTTTTTCAAAAGAAAGCGTCACCACATCCCAGATTTCTCTACCGTTTTAAGTACTAAAATTCTCGGGTTAGTCTTAAAATGTAGCCAAAAGTTAGCACTATAAGTTAACAGAGTCTGATGTATGTTTTTGATAGAATTTTTCAAAAAGTGTTATCGCTTGAACTTTCTTAATATTCAGTAAATCTCTTTTCGATTTATGTCTTTTTCTTCATTTGAAACAAGGTACACAGATACTGTATTTGCATGTTGAGAAGATTCAAAACAATACTTTAGATGTTCATGATGAAATTTACAAACAAAAATTGTAAATCGGTTTGCTTGAAAATAAACCATTTCTTCTTAATAATATGATACGTAACTATGGTTCAAATACCATTTTGTTCAGTTTTTCATTGGTAATTTTTGTATATCAAATGTTACCGTAGTTTCATATTAGATTTTCAACAGAATCGTTTTTGTTCGCCGGATGAAGATGATAATAGGATAATGTATTAAATAAATTCGAGATAAAATACAGCCTTTGTAAACCAGTGAAGATATTGTGAATAGATCAATTTGCAGAGAATTGAGAGAGCTTTAAAACAGGCTATTTTAGAAAAATGGGTTTTTCGCCTTTTAGAAAAAATAAATGATCTTACAGGTCGCATTTTTCTCTAGTCATACATGGTATGTTGAGCTTAACGACCTTTTGTAAATCAGTGAAGATATTATGAACAGACCAGTTTGTGGAGAATTGAAAGAGCTTTCTAATTATGCGTTCATTGTTTATATGCTCTTATAGTGCCAGAGAAAAGCGCATGAGAAGGATTTTAATAGTGGTCTGTAATGTCAGCTTCCAAATGAAGACTCTATCTGGAACCTGTTTCTCAAAAAACCTTAAATATTCCACTTAAGTGGAAAATTAAGTAGTACTTAAGGGACACTTAAGTTTCCCTTAAGTGCGTTTCTCATAAAACTTAAGTTAAACAGAGATCATGCAATAAAAATCACTCATATTTTAACAAAATTTAGATTATTTTTATGAAATATTTTTTGAACAACATCCTTCTAAAATTATTTTCTATCTAATTATTGTGGATCTGACTACGAAAAAACGTAAAATAACTAAGTTACAAATTATAAATAATTTTCCACTTAAAAAATTAAATGAAAATTTAAGAGGGTGGTTGAGATGTCCCTTAAGTTAAGATGCTTTCGAGAAAGTCACTTAGCAAAAAAATCTTAGTTAGGTCAAATTTTCGGCTTAAGCAAAACTTAAGTTTTTTCGAGAAACACGGTCCTGGATTGGAACAGCAATAACGGCTCAAAAGTACCTAAAATCAAATGTTCATAGTTTTCCGCTTCTCATAGGACCATTCTGAACAGAAAACAAAAATGGACCGATACTTTAGCTTATACGCATCCCTCCTTTTATTTTGTAGACTGAACTATTCGTGTATTATGTAATTCTAAGCGGACTCAGTTTCCGCTGAAATTTGAGCAAACACCGGTATAGTAGTGATACATTATAACGGCAGGACCCCATCAGAGACAATCGTGCAATAAAGTAAGTTTAAAAAAATATAAGAAAATATGGACGGAATATGAAAGAGATTCTATCACTCATTATTATAACAAAGTTATTTAATAAAAAGATTTGTTTGTCCCATCATCTTGATAAATTCACTACGATCAATTCGACCATCACCATTTCTATCTGCCATAATGAACATGGACTGTAGTTCTAATTCTGATAAATTTAAACCGGTATTTTCACTTATTCTTCGAAGATCATTGAGATCGATATAACTACGCTCTTCTATCAAAGAAATAAAGAAATTAATTATGGTTGTCTAAAACTGCCATTACTGAGTCAAACCTGGATCAAATAAATGAAATGCAGTATTTAGCTCAGCAAAATTGTCAGTTTCTTCATTTTGATGAGTGGCAAGTAACATTAAAAATTCGCCAAAATTTAGTGTACTGGAAATAAAGAAATAATGATTATGTTAACTTCTGTTTCATAAAATAACTTACGTAGTATCTCGACTTTCTTTTTCAATATAATCCACACATTGTTCTACTGTTAGAAAAACTCCAAGTGTTCTCATTGCATAAACAACATCTTTTGGTTTCAAGTTTCTGTAAACAAATGTGAATGAGAAAAACAATTTTTATACATTTGTATTAATCGTACCCACGATGTTTACTATCAAAAAAATCAAATATTTCTTTAAGATTTCGAATTTCTTGAGCAGTAAAATGCATATAAATAGCTTTTGGCAAACGAACGCCGGCAATATCTCTCTCTTCTAATGGATTTTCTTCTAATGATGCAAGTAACTTAATTAAATATGATGATATGAATAAATCTAATGTAGAATATAAACAGCTATACATACCTGAACTCCAAGAGCTGGATGAGGTGGTATCCAGTCGATTCGACTACCAGAATATTGATTAATCGATAAATTTGTAGGTGTTTTCGATTTTCGACCGCTTTTGGTAGCCATTGTTTTCTATCTTAAAATGTAACAGTTCGGCAAACAATTACATATAGTTCAATTTTCTATCAATAAACTTCTAACGTACTTTGAAAAAAAAAATTTGAAAAGAAAGTTTTACAACGATATATTGAAATAACTGGACTAAGGTTAACCTACAAAAATGATAAGATAAATATCAGTTTAACATGCATTAAAAACCACTAGAAAATAATATAGAAAAACTTTTAATAAATAAATTAGCAGTTCAAACAGTTCGAATAACAAGAATATGATAATAATTAATAAACAAAATCAAAACGTATACAAAAAATCAACTGAATTCTTTTCTTTTCATTTTTTTTTCAGATATACTTCTGAGATTTAAATACTTGACAGTTTTACTTTAGTGTAATAAAATTAAACAATTATCTTTTTTAAAGAGAAAAACTCATTTCATATATCGTTGTGTGAAACAGTAATGTTTAAACTACTTTAGTCTACATTTTTCAATGGCAAATCAATATTCATTTCAACACAAACATCTTTAATGCATTTTGCTAATATTTCCATATCTGTCGAATATAAACGACCAATATTTCCAATGCGAAAACAATCGGTGACGGTTGTTTTACCAGGATAAATTAATTGACCTAAAAAAATAGAGCAATGTTAATAACTTTTACATAAAATATCCATCTGCTCTGTACTAGTTAGTCTAAGTTAAATACAATGTATCTAAAAAAGGTAATAATAGATACGTTGTTTTTTCTTTACCCTTTTCACTAAGTTTATTGTAGAACGTTTCGAAATGAAATGATGAATTTGATGGATAATAGTAGGATGTGATAATGTAACTCTGATACTCTGCCTTAATCAATTCTACAAATCCGTATGATTTCATCGTTTGACGAATAAGTTTATTATTTGTTTCGTATCTATAAACACAAATAAACAAAGTAGCGTGTTAATATAATGAATGATGAGTAAAAAAAATATGTGAACCTTTTTGCACGACCTAAGACACCACCTTCTTCTTCAAGTTCGTCTAGGGCTTGTTTGAATGCTATGATCGCATGGGTTGGTGCTAAATAAAAGACAAATCTACCTGGTTTAGTTTTTTTACAAGATGAACGGCAAGGCATATAATTACTTTTACATACGCGTAAACCGAAATTGTCTGCTTTTCTCCATATATTGATACTGATCGTATAAATCAAGAGCCAGACTACGAGAATTACCTAGAATAATAAAAAAAAATTACTTGTTTTAGTATTTCTAGAGTAAATCATGTACATACCTTGACATTTCAGTAAATAAGCTCTTTTACAAATAACAAATGCAAAACCTGGTATTCCTTCAATACATTTGTTCGCTGAACTAATGAGGAACGTAATAAGACCATTTTTAAGACTGACTGGTATGGCACCAAAAGCGCTCATTGAATCAACAATGAAAGCGGTATTATCTATGTAATGATAAGATAAATACTAAAGTTAGCGAACAGTTCATAACAACTTGATAAAGTTCGATACACACAAAAAAGAAAAGAACAGATCAAAACAGATTCAACAAACCTGATCCATATTGTTGAACAAGTGCTGCAATTTGCTCAATTGGATTTAATATTCCTGAACTTGTTTCACAATGAACAACAGCTACATGTGTGTATTTGGTTGATTTTAATTTTTCTTCGACAGATTTACAATTAACCTGTTCTGTTTCAGAAAATGAAAGTGTATCGTAGTCAATGTGTAAAATATCACACATTTTTATCATTCGTTGACCATAAGCACCATTCTCTATAATCAGAACCTAAGTACAAACAAAAAAAGAAAATACAAAACATAGTTAACGTTTACAGAACATACTTTTGCATTTTTTTGTGGAACAGATGTAGAAAATGTTGCTTCAACTGCATAAGTACCACTTCCTTGAATTAATACGGCTGTATAATCATCAGATGAAGCATCTTAAATAAATTCAAATCTAATATTACGAAAAAAAGGTAAGACTTTTACTTACCAGCAATCTCAAGTAATTTTTGACGAATATGTGCAACAATATTTATAAAAACTGTATCACGAGAACCAAGATCATGTAACATTGCTTGTTTAACCGTCATACTGGTTGTTAATGGTCCGGGAGTGAACAATTTTGAATCAATTTCTAAAAAGGAGCAACAAAACTTCAAATTATTATACGAGATAACAAATTTTTTTACTTTACCCTTCACATCCATTTTCTTGAAGTTACCAAGATACTAATTGATCTGAAAGAATATTCAATTTCAAGAGCAACGCAAAAATTTATGATCCGTCAACTCAATTAATGATCAAGTTTTTTACCAGTGTGTCAACTTAGTGTTCTATTCAGTCTAATGTATCCAGCATAAAAGTCTTAGAGACATTCACATCAGTCAGATGGGGAGCTTTGAACAGTTATGAATAGATGACCATAACGTCGCTTTTAGATCCGTGGCTCAGAAAACCGGTTATTTATGCTCAAGTCGCATTATACGATGTGTGCGTTGGTTAGCGATTACGAACTAATGTTCAACAGATTCCTAAGGGGGATCTTGAATAAACATCTTTCATTGCTCAACTGATGAATAATTAATGGTGTTCTCAGGCTTGTAACTGATTGCAATTAAGTATAAGGACCACAGAGCTAATAAAATTATTCACTTTGGCAATATCACAGCAGATTAGAAGGCTCTCCATTTTTGATAAGCCGCTTCTGTCTTCAATTCACTATGGTCTTTTATGATTATGCATAGAGTAGTAAGTAGTAACAAACAAGCTAGTTTTATAACTAGCAAATATAATGATATAATAATATATGACTGCATTTTTTTAGTTTGTACTCTCTTTTACTGCGATTTTACGAAGCGACGCTTAGCCGAAAGCTATTTTATCGAGTAGACACTATTCCACCATTTAGCTCACAATCTGAATTATAACAACGCCGCTGCTTGTCTCTGCGACTTTTCAATTGGTCGATTCTGTCAGAGAAGAACGCTAGTTAGTTTTGTTATTGTCCTTATTTTCTCAGCAACCACATCGTAAAAGAATTAATATAAGACGTCTACGAACGACGTAGACATGGTATAAATATCATCAGTTTGAGAAATAATTCATCGGCATGTTCAGTGCTTCACAGAGGTACTAGATTATTTAAATGAACAAAATGTACTATTGAAATTTTAGTTTAATTTTTACGTCACCCAGCAAGATTATTCACTTACGCTCTTCAAAACAACCTGCCTGTGCTAAATATACTTATCCTAGCATGAAATAGGGTTATCTTTATACATTTCTGCAGAATATTCTCTCATTTTGTCTCTGTTTTGCGTATTTTAGATGCATCATGCTTCTTGGTTCGATTCCGAACGTATTCAACCTTCAAAACTGTTGTCTAATATAGGACGTTCATCGCAAATACCTCATCCAACACAGCTGTCATCTTCTGCAGTGTCATTTTCTTCCGAATCTAAGCGAAAAGAACAATCTCCATTATTGAAATTAAACAGCGTCGTAAATTCGCGTTTTAAGCCTAAGAAAATACAAAATGATCATTTCTCATTGCAAAACTCCTCGGTACCAACATCTTCGTTTACGCCGCTGCCTGTGTCTCCAATAGGAAGAGAAAATTATTTATCTGTTTCACAAATTACTAATGTAACATCATCTTCGGCGGTTAACGTGTTAAAAAATCATTGTGCAGTAATCAATTGCACAAGTCAGTATTCTGATAAACAAAAGCATTTTTATTTTGTCCCATTTCCATCCTGCACTCCTGAACTTGAACAATTTGTACGACGTATGAAAATAAATAGTGAACGACTTCCTGATGAACCAACAGGTGTCTACATTTGCTCAAGGCATCGTTATCCTCTTTATTTGAATACACATCGAAAGCCTGGATTACCCATGTAAGTTGTGATCTGTTTATTTAACCTAGTTGAATCAGTTCTATTTTCCTATTTAGAATGCCCACAACTACTCATGGTATTAAAAATGGTATTGATCATGTTTTATTTCTACCAAAACCGTGGCATACTCTATGCTGTATGAAAGGATGTATAAATAACGATTTAGTACATCGTTTATCATCAGCAACATTTGTTCGAGTTCCAAGAGTTCCTATTATTCAACGTAATGCATTTTTACGTTTAATTGGAAATACTGATATTGATCAAGACGAATTCGTAGTGTGTGACAGACACTTTCCAATGTCAATGAGACATAATAATATTCTTACATCATTAGCTGTGCCACAAACTCGCGTCGGTCAAATGAATCAGAAATTAACTGTAAATAAACTTAAACATACATCATCGAAAACAATGACATCAACATCTTTCGAACAGCAACATTATATTAGAGATAAAGAAGAGATTCGAAAGGTGAAAACGGTAATTCATGCGTGTTTTTCTTTTTGAATTCGGACTTTTATTCGAATCTGTGTGTTTTTCTCACCTATAAAGGCGATTCAAGTAAAGGATTTGATATTGTTTTTATTTATGTATAATATTCCGTTTTGTTTGTGTTTAGAAGTCATCCGAGTGTACATCACCAAAATCCACGGTTTCAAGTGCACAGAATGTTACTAAATCAACAACTTCAATCGTTAATTATTCTCATCCGTATGATTGTCTCATAACTTCTGTTGAATCCAGTATTGATTTAAAACGTTCGATATCGTCTCCATTAGTGTCAACAACTGCTACGCCACTAAATCCTGTAAGACCCATAACACAGCACATCCAACGTTCGACTAAGAGATCAACATCACAATCAAAAAAATATCGTTCGATTAATACTTCAACGACAACAATGGAAAAACAACAAAACTTTATTCCTTCTTCACCTACTTCATCGATATCTCCACGTTATATGCTTTTACTTCCAGCTCAAATGCAATCTCCATTGATAGCCACTGAATCTACTTCTGTTCAGTCTCAGAATAATTTTAATTGTAGTAATGAGAATACAACATATTCTCTTGCGCCTTCAGTCATTTATCCAATGCAAAAAAAATTGCGTACAATTCGACCGAATCCTGTTCAAGACTCGTCATTAGTGACAACACCAAACTTTTCGCCAAATAATAGTGCGCCAGTACCGCTAAAAAGATTGACTCCACCATCAAATAGTTTAACAGAAAATTTACGAATAAAACTTGAGCGAAAACGGACGCATACTGGCCAACATCTACAAAGTTCATATGATCATCCGCTGACTTCTACTTCCACCACTGATATAAATCAATGGGATAAAATAAAGACATCTTCACATAAGATTACCACTATGAATGCTCTTTCTGCCCGTCAATTAAAAACAAATCCTACGCTATTTGAACAAATTAAAACCAACAATGAAAGTATTTTAAGTGTAAGTGACCGTGTATCAGCACGTGTTAAGAGTAAACGTCAACGACTACCGAAACGAGCTATAGTAATATCAACAGATAATGAACAAAATGAGGTAACAGAAATGAACAATCAAGAACATCATCGTCAAAGATCACCATCACCATCATCATTATCAAATCACTCTCAATCTGTCGAAACAGCAACCGATAATACCACGTCACGAGAGAAAGATTTCAATAAGATCCAGTCAAATGAGAAGAATGAACAACCAAAGATATTTTCGTCTGTTTGTGGTAAGTTACTGATCTTGAACTGAGCGCTACAACATTTTTTAAGCTCTCTGTTTCTTACGAGAATTTGCTTTTGCTTTCTAATGTTTGGTTTAGTTTAATTGAATAGATTAACTTTTCTGTTTGTAGGAAACGATAAGAGTTTATCAGAATCTATTTTATCAAAAGAAAAAAAAGTTAATAAACTCATTAGTAAAATACGTTATCGTAGTTATAAACTGAAATTAACACGTCTGAAGTTGAATTGTGAATTGATAAGAAATGCTCGAATAGCTCAACGGAGAAAAGAACGTCAATATCAACTATTATTTGACACAAGTCCAATTCTTGTGGAAAAAACTGTATTTGATAAGACTACTATAATTACAAACAATAACAACGATTATACTTCTCAATGGCTGAATTCAAACAATCTCGAATTGACTGAAGGTTATTTATCTAAAATGAAATTTGCCTCGATTTGTTATCAAACAACGGCTCTGTTAGATACAGACTTTCACTTATTGTTGACTAATCTATATTATCCAGATTTAGATAAACAAACAGAGTGTTCATTATCGTCATCAGCGAACGGTATTTTGTGTAATCTATGTCGACGACAGTATGAAACGGTTGAAACATTTGACATGCATTTAGCGAGAAAAAGTGTCATCATTCAATATTTATGTGTAGCATGTAATTTACATATACGTTCTGTGAATCCTTGTCAAGCATATTATCATTTGAATTGTCATACAGGATTGCAAGATTTAAGCATTAAAGAACTAGTATTTGAACAATTGGAGATCGAAACACAACAATATTTTAATCAGTTCAAGATAAGGAGTGATGATGACAGTGAAAATGAAAAGATAGTATCATCTTGGAAGAATAATACGTTAGAACAAAAGGTTAGCAAGAAAACTAATGTTTTTAGTGAGGCAAGACGGACCAGGTCTGTGCCCCACTGCTTTTGAAAATAGTTTCCTTATCACTTACAGAATTTCCATATGACTAGAAAAACGATTATTCTTATTATTTGATGTTCTTTCTGTTTTAGAGTGTCGATGATCATATTATTAATGATATAACTCCAATGGAAATAACTTCTAAAACTGACAGTAATTGTCAATCGACAATAATTGAGGAGCCAAAACCACGTCATACCTCGGATAATACCCTCTATTGGACATGTATGTTATGTAAACTACGTTTTGGTAGTCGTGATGCGCTCAAACTTCACATGTTCTCTTCTCATAAACAAAAACAAACACAATTTGAGGAGAAAGAGGTCGATACATCAAATAGTTTGAATAAGACTATGAATAATAATCGATTAAATTGCCAAGTATGCAATTTAGATTTTACCGATCCAATCGATTATAATCGTCATATACGACGGCATGGCATGTATTTTTTACAAACAAAGAAAAATATGTAACAGTGAGATATTTATAAATCTTTCGTTTTTGATTATTTATTAAACCCGGTCCCTTAGAGTTCAACGTAATCTGTCTTTGAGCATCGAAAAGTGTGTATGAGTGTGTGTTTGATTATTTTTTATATCGTGTTCATTTTTTGTTTTGTTTTGTTTTGTTTTTGACAAATACAGGTTAGCACGTTTCTTAAAATATTAAATATTTTCAAATATTCATTTTCGTTCTAATATATCCTTCTTTCGCTGACTTTTTTTATTGTCGTATTAAGCACGATTATGTGAAGTTTTAATATTCCTTCAGTCATGCACAAGTTAACCTAAAGTTTTTGTTTGTGTGGTCTTAGTTATGCACAAAATCAACATGATGGATTTTTTATTTGTCTCATTTTGTATACAAACACTTGTCTTTTTTTCTCGTGTGTGAATACATAAGAATTTTTAGTTTTGCAGAAATTTTTTTTTGAAATCTAAAATTGTTAATACTAACTTTGTAAGTTAGAAAATTTACTTTGTTGACTTCATATTCGTTATAGCGTTATTATTATACTAAATCAAAACAACATTAGATAGAACTATTTCATAAATACTCAGATAGTATCATACAACATAGTTAATCAAGGAAGTCTTTAATATCGCTAAGTCACTAATGTATCTTTCTCTCAACATGAGAACGATACAGTTTGATTTTTATAGTTTAGCGACAGTATTATTTTCACTGTCTACATTAACAAAATTTATAAGTTTGGTCAAGAAGAAAAAGTGACTTTCATACAATCATTTATGCATGCATAATTACAATTACAAAATACTCTCTGTCTATCTGTTGACATTCACAATTCTACAGTATTTAACGAAGCACTAATATCATTGCTAAGTATATTTAATTTAATTAATTTTCTTGTTTGTTCTATTAGACGATGCATGTTGTGGGTGTGACGATACTCGATTATTATTAAATTTAGATCGTTGTCTCGTTGTCATTGATCTCTTGTAAATATTTCTATTATTTGCTCATATAAAATTGATGATTGTTAAATAGGTTACTGCCCGAGTGAATGCACTTGAACATAGGTGCCAAAGCTAGGTACCCTGCTACAAGAATGTCATAGGTGCTTGCAAGTGAAATATTACTTAGCGAGTACCTAAACTGACAGCCATTTTAGGCGATTGTGTGAAGATAAAAACGCACGTCATTCTTGTAAATATATGTTTTTCTTTTATATATGTCTGAACGCGAACCAAAACGGTGAACGGAAAAAAATCTGGCATCTATGCTGCGTCCAGTGCAAGTAATTGGATACCTTTCAAGTAATATTTACTTGAAAAAAATTTCAGCATCTATGACATCCATGTAGCGGGGTATCCGTACCGTACTATACCGTTACAAGAAAAATTTGGACTTCCGCCAGAATACAGATCTTATTTTGTTTTTCAGTTACTTTGATTAATTGATCTGACGGTATCCTCCGGTTTTGACCATCTCTGACTAGAGTCCTGCAGGTTACGACTTTTTGCCAGCTCATAACCTAACTTATAAAAATCTTCACAACTTAAACCTAACCTAACCTATTAATGTTTTTCGTAACCTTATCTAGGTTAACCTAATATAACCTATGCAATTTTTTCCCAAAACCTGGTTTCAGAAGCCTAAACTTCAGTGTTGTTCCAGATCGTTATTGTTTCTGAAGTAAACAGCTTCTGATAGAAAAGTTTATACAAAATAAATCACATTTTAAATGAATAAAGAAATGAATCAGTTGAGTCTTTTATTCTTTAATGCAATGTTTGGAAAATAGCTTTCTGAATAGAGGGATCCTCTTAAAAGTAGACCAGAATTCACTTTGAGCTTTCGACGCTACGAAGATTCTGTTATTGTTGTGTATTCGCCATCTATTTCTAGCAAAGGTAAGTTTTTTCTCTGTACTTCCTTTTTTGCTTGTGCTATTTTCCAGTTTAAACTAGAGAACTTCAGTCTGAACTTTATCGATTGAGGGATAAAGTTCCACTTAAACAGTTTCAGAATTACATCCGTTTGACTAGTACAAGTAAATGTTGGCACGATTAGCACTAAGCGAAAGTGTGAGAAAGCCTGAACTTGTGGCAAGAGAGGAATATCTGGTATTGTTTGTGATAGTTATTTGACCCAATAGGACTACGCTTTATTACTCAAAGTATTGGTGATTTTAATGTAGTCGTTCAAAATTGTTTTTTTTCGTTTAGGTTAAAAATAGGTTATCAATACCGTAACCTACAACCGAATCTATAGAATATTTCATAACCTAAACCTAACCTCATTTTTAACAAAGAATTATTGGTAAATCTCTCAGTAAATCGTTTCGAAAAAGACTTTCTCTGCTTACTTTCAGAATCAAGGAACATTAACATTTGTTCATTTCTCGGATCATTGGCAGATAATTTTATTTGTAATAAACTCGGGAAAATGCTCTCTGTATTCTTGAAAATAAAGTGAATAAGGTTAAATGAAAGGGAGAAGTAAATGTACTTGGATTTGGGAACTGAAGTCTGTCTCCAATCACTGATAAAAACTCCGCATAAGTAAGTACAGGATGAAACAAAATCCTCTATTTAGTGTGTCGACCAGTAATCTAGCTGTAATTATTAAATTTGCTCGATTACAATCGACGATTAATATCGAAACAATTATAAACCAAATTTTACGCCTATGGATGTTCGAAATAAGTGTAGAATCATATTAAAAAAATGGCTATACGTGACGAAATTTTGCACATTTATATATTTATTTGTTTAGTCCTTTTCTCTACACGACTTTCAAAAATGAGCACTTTTCGCTTTTATCATTTGAAGGATATTGTAAAATTTTAGGCGAGAATTGTGGTTTGAATTTATCTTACTACATTGAAATTTTTCCCTAGAAAGATGATACACAAGGTATCATTTTAAGGTAACTCTCGGCTTCTATTTAGTATGATATTTAGTAAGTAAATATTATTTGGCTCACAGCAAATCTAGATTGTGTCCTATGATTAAGATCATCACTTTTATTTTATTGGAACATATATTATATACTGAATTACAATGAGAACGACATGACTGTTATTTATTGTTGTTGCAAATTACATTAGTGTCATTAACGAGTAACTGACTCTGTATGGGAATATATGTTATAACAAGTAAATCTGAGTTTCATATTTCATACTGGGTATGAAATATGAAACTCAGATATATAGTAAAGCAAGTTTATGCTGTCAAAAATTTTGTTTAGAGTTAATGAAAACTGAACAATGAGAGAAATTGTACATCTTCAAGTTGGTCAATGTGGAAATCAAATAGGTGCAAAATTTTGGGAAGTCATTTCTGATGAGCATGGTGTCGATCCCATTGGAACATATCACGGTGATTCAGATTTACAATTGGAACGAATTAATGTTTACTTTAATGAGGCAACAGGTAAACAGTAACACTCAACAAGTTAATCTTTATTTAAAATCATTTTTTAGGTGGAAAATATGTGCCACGAGCAATATTAGTTGATTTGGAACCAGGAACAATGGATGCGGTATGCTGTTTTGCTCAAATATCAGAGCTATTTATAGTCGGTTTTTTAGGTTCGCGCCGGTCCCTATGGACCATTGTTTCGTCCAGATAATTTTGTCTTTGGTCATACGGGATCGGGTATATGTATATTGATTCCAATGCACCTCAATTCATATTTCAACAGGTTATTTTTCATTTTTCTAGGAAATAATTGGGCCAAAGGACATTACACGGAAGGTGCCGAAATCGTTGACGCTGTTCTAGATGTTGTGCGAAAAGAAGCAGAAGCTTGCGATTGTCTCCAAGGATTTCAGTTAACACAATCGCTCGGAGGTGGATGCGGAAGCGGTTTAGGAACATTATTGATTGCTAAAATCCGTGAAGAATATCCAGATCGAATTATGTGCACATATTCTATTGTACCATCACCCAAAGTTTCCGATACCGTCGTTGAACCGTACAATTGTGTGTTATCTACTCATCAACTATTAGAAAATTCGGATGAAACATATTGTATTGACAATGAAGCATTGTACGATATTTGTTTTCGTACGTTGAGACTGACAACGCCCACATATGGTGATCTTAATCACTTAGTGTCAGCTTCCATGTGTGGCACTACAACATGTTTAAGATTTCCTGGTCAATTAAATGCCGATTTACGAAAATTAGCCACAAATATGGTACCGTTTCCTCGATTACATTTTTTTATTCCTGGTTTTGCTCCGTTAACATCGCGTGGCAATCAACCATATCGCGCTATCACCGTTCCAGATCTCGTACAACAAGTATTTGATGCTAAAAATTTGATGGCTGCCTGTGATCCGAGACATGGAAAATATTTGACAGCGGCCGTCATTTTCCGAGGTCGAATGTCGATGAGAGAAGTAGAAGAACAAATATTGAATGTACAACAGAAAAATAGTAGCTATTTTGCCGAATGGGTGGGTAATATTCATTATCTACATGACTATTTTAGTATGTGTATTGTAACAATTGCGTATGATATTTGAATGTTGTAGATACCCGACAATTTGAAAACAGCCGTATGCGATATTCCTCCACGCGGTTTGAAAATGTCAGCAACATTTATAGCTAATACTGTATATTGATAATAGTTTAAGACATCATTTTTTTATTCTTAAGTTAAATTATAATTTCAGACGGCAATGATCGCTTTATGGAAACGCGTAGCTGAACAATTTACAGCAATGTTTCGTCGTAAAGCATTTCTACATTGGTATACAGGTATGTAGTAGAACGAAAAAACTTTTATAAAATCAAATGGATTTTACATATTATTGATAGGTGAAGGAATGGATGAAATGGAATTCACAGAAGCCGAATCAAACCTTAATGATCTTGTAGCAGAATATCAACAATGTGAGTATTTATTGTGACGCGATCATATTTACCATGAACGAGCCAATAATTCGATATTGGCACCTTTCTTTATTGCAATATATATAACATAATATTTGAAAAATTTAGATCAAGAAGCTGGAGTAGAAGAAGAAGAAATAGGAGAGGCCGAAGAGGAAAATTGAATTGAAAACTCAAATGTATCATTTATAGAATTAGGTTAATGTTTACATAAATCTAATTTTCTTTTATTTTTGTTGTATAAACGTTCAGCGCTCGTCCTCGTGTTTTAGAAACATACTTGAGTTAAATATTCAACGGAGCAATATCCTTATGCGTAACACTAAATTTCTACAAACCTCGATGAGTAGAACGAGAGTGATATTTCCTTGAGAATTTATAACAGAGCATTAGAGCTTCTTTGAATGATGTTGTTGAGAAAATAAGAAGCAACCCTGGTAAAATCCCTATTAGTTTCCTAACAGGCTCCGAGATATATCCTACCAGTATCTTACTAGGATTTCGCTTTAGTTTCTTAAGATCCTAATAAAATCCTAAAGAATCCTAATGAAATCAGGTATACCCGAAAGTCATAGGATTTTCTGAGAGTCTGTTAGGATCCTAAACAAACTTAAGCGAAATCCTAGTAGGACCCTAGCATTTTAGGATCCTACTAGGAAGTTATTAGGTGGATCCTAAATATTAAGATACTGTAAGATCCCAGTAGGAAATGGACAGGAAGTGCGTAGGATGTTGTCTAGGGAATACGGTAAAATATTTGATAATATTTACAGTAAAAATAACTTCGTAAGTCAAAGATCTATTGCAGTGTAACCTACTCTCTAAAAAAAATCCGTAGCTTACAAAACAAATATCGGTTTTGGCATTTGCTCCTAATAGAAACCGATATCCGTATCGTACAGTCCTGCATACCCGTTTCGCAGAATACGTTTCAACGTTTTTTCT